CAGTCCCGGCCGCCCAAAGGCTTTGTTGGAGCAGCAGAGCTCACTCGGGCAGCCCCAGCATGTGTGGGCTGTTCTCAAAGCCCGGGGTGAGACAGTGCTCTTCTACGCTGGGTGGAGGTCCCCGAGGCCCTCGTGGTGCCAGGTGGGTTCCCTGGTAGTTGTCAGTTGTGCAGGAGTATGCTGTGCAAAGAAGGTCTCCTGATTTCCCTGAGGGTTCAGGTTATTCCAATTATGAGTCAGAGCCTTCTGCAACTGTGCCAGTAATGTTCAGGGAGCTAATCCCAGGAAAGAGATGAAAAAATAACCCTGAAAAGTATTAGCTTAGTGAGAGCAGTAGATACCGAGGCAATTCCCAGGGAAGTGTACAAACCCGGTGTTTGTAGCAGAGCATGCTACTTCTGTGTTCCCGTTCCTTCCCTCCTTCGTGGGCTGAATCCCCACAAAGACAGAGACTATGACTCCCTGTGTCTTAGCCCTTCTGCATCTCTCCTCTCTCACCATCCTTGCGCACTTTGGGATTTGAGAAAAGTAAATGTGTGCTAACATCTGCTTCGTCTCTCCTTGAAAATTATCACCAGGAAGTGCTAGGCACAAGAGAATTGTTCCTTTGTGGCACACTAGTCTGATAACTAAAGTTTTTGCCTTTGATGGCAGTGAACTTTCTGTTGAAGCCAATGGCTCTGTCTTGTTGGAGCAGAGGTTGAATGGAAAGTTCTTGCTTTGTGTTCTCTGCCATCGGCAGTGGTGTCAGGGCTGCCTGCAGGGCTGTGCTCCTCCTTCCACCGGCACGTCTGCCTTGTGGCACAACACGCCGGTGAAACGGACTGGTTTCTGAAGGAAGATGGAGATGCTGAGGACTGTCCCTAGGAAATCTTTCAGGAGTGAACAAACACACTGCCTATTATTTATTTTATTTTGTTTTATTGACTGCAGCAATGGGGTTTGAAAAGAGAGGACACGGGAAACAAGCCAGTGCCCCTTTAATTCTGTGACCTGCAAAGTAATGCACATGGGAGCTCTCTTGCCTCTGTGCATTGGAGTTCATCCATAAAATGTGTTTTCCTGGAAGCTAGTTTGCATCCTTGAAATACCAGGATTAAGCTCTTCCTTAAGACAGAATCTTTGTGGTGCAGTTGCTTCCCAGTCACGTCAGCTTGGATTGAGACTGCTGGATGAGCTACCTCTTCCCTGGCAGCCTTCTGCTACAAAAAGATAGCTACCAGAGGGTTTGGCTTTGGTTACCCTGGCACGACTTGGGGATTTTGATCTGACCGAGTGTGGCAGCAAATGCTGCTGTTCCTGACATGTGCCAGCAGCTTAGGTGAGTGAGATGAATGCGACACAAAGAACATCCTGCTTGTGTCGAAATAGATGGGACACAGGAATGCAAGGTTTTTGCAGATAGCAGCAGACACTGCAGCATCTGAGGCCCTGTGCAGATATGCAGGAGCTTGCTGTCTGTGCTGACAGAGCTTGTACCTCCAGGAATAGAGGACTAAAGCTTTGAGGGTGAACTGTCCTCTTGTTCTGTTCCTCTTCCAAGAATGTCACAGAGCCAGGAGAGTGCCCTGCTGAGTGCAGGTAGCAGCACCACCACTGGTAGCGGTGAAGCTGCAACAAGGTCAAGCACTGGAACAGGCTGCCCAGGGGAGTGGTTGATTCACCATCCCTGGAGGTATTTAAAAGACATGTAGATGCAGTCCTCAGGGACATGGTTTAGGGGTGGACTTGGCAGTGTTAGGTTAATGGTTGAATTCATGATCTTCAAGATCTCTTCCAACCTAAACGATTATATGATTCTATGGTAGAATGGCTCTGCTGGGACTAGCCATGGGGCTGCTGGCACATGTCTTGTAAGGTGTTTTGTCTTTGCAGAGCTTCCTGAGAGCTGGGCTGATATGCAGGAGCCACTGCTTGAAGGGATGTGCTTCACACTCAAGTATCTAGGCATGACGCTGGTAGAAAAACCCAAAGGAGAAGACATGGCTGCTGCTGCCATCCGCAGGATCGTGGCCACGGTGAGAGCTGGCCCTGGGGCCCTGCTGTGCTGGGGTGGAGAAAAGCCAGTTCAGAGCCTAGCCTCGGGGCTCTGGGAAGTGTCCATGTCCCAGCCCTGAACCCCAGTGAGGGACCATGCTGTTGCCAAGAGCAGGGTGGTGGGCAAGGGGCTGGCTGGTCTCTGCCTGTGTGCTGCAAGGGGAAGCTGTCTTTCTGCAGGACAGCTCTCACAGCCTGCTGCTGCACTGGCAACAGGGCTAGGAGCAGAGCTGTGCCACACTGGGAATGGCTAGGGAAACTAGGAGCGGGCTGTGTCTGTCACAGGGTGGAGAGAAGGGTAAAATACTGGAGGAGGTGGGGTCTGTCCTTTCCCATGTGCATGGCAGTAGTGTGAATGGATTCTGGGGGTGTTCTATGCCAGGCATGCCTGCTCTCCAGGCTTGGCTTTCCCATCCCTACAGCAGGGGTCTGAGTGGGTGGCACTCTGTACAGAGTCTGGGGGACTCCTGCCAGCAATAGTGGGGTGAAGACCTTTGCCAGATTTGCAGAGGTATCTGGTGTCTCCCCACTGCCAGGCACGGGTGGGAGCTCGCAAGTTCCAGAAGGTGATTCTGACAGTATCTCCGAGGGGCATCTCGCTGCAGGATGCAGACACAAAGGAGATGGTTGAGAGCATCTCCATCTACAGGTGGGCATGGTGTGTGGAGGGCCAGGGGCTCCCCAGCAGCCAGCAGGGGACTGGTGGGACCTTGAGCAGCCAGGGAGGGGCTGGGCCTTCTGTCAGTGGTACCTTCAAGCTTAGGTCTCCCTTTGGCTCCCTGAGGCCTGTGCCCTCTCCCTTTTGTGCCCCACAGCACTGCCTGAGGCTGAATTCAGGCAGAGTCCTGGGTGGCCTTGAGCGCTCTGTCTTCTCCCTGGGCCTTGCTTGTCTCCTCTGGCATTCAAGCAGAATGTCGAGGCTGATGATTGGAAAGGCCCCCAGTTAGGGCTGGACTGCATGTCTGCCTCTCTCTGCTGACACAGGACCACCCTTCTGGCTGCAATGGCATGAGGGTGCCATAGACTGCAGCTTCCTCAGGCTGGCTAAAGGCAACTGCTGTGAGAGCCGATGTGTGGGCTTTTTACTGCTGCCAGCTGTGCTTTGGCTGGGTTGGGTGTCCGTGGGTGCTGGTGTGAGGGGAGCATGGCTGCAGGCTGGTGGCTAGATGGGAAGCAGAGGCAAGACCTCTCTTTTGTGCAAAATTTGGGTCTTGGCACCAGAGGTGATGTGCCTGGCCTCCAGTCGTGTCCTTGGAAGCAATCACCCATCCTTCTGTGCCCCTTTGTCTCGGTGCTTGAGTTCATGTGTTGGGTTGAACTGGGCATCAGAGGACCGAGGAGCACACCAGGGCAGCACGGGAGGGAATGCCTATGGATGCAGCCATCTCTTAATAGTTGTAGGTACCAGGCAGCCTCAGCCCTTGCTGGGGGGTTGGGCTGCTTGATCATCTGGGGCAGATGAATGCCTCAGGCTGTCAGCACTGCTTGTTGGTGTGCTGGGAGCACAGCAGAAGACCTGTGCGAGGTCCGTTATCACCCTGAGCAGCTCCTCTATGCCTGCAGGATCTCCTACTGCACAACAGACAAGCTGCAGAACAAAGTCTTCGCTTATGTTGCCCAGAGTCAGGAGAGCGGGGCACTGGAGTGCCATGCCTTCCTTTCACCTAAGAAGAAGATTGTAAGCACTTCCTTTCTGCTCTTGGCTCCACGAGGTAAGGGTGGGACCAAGGGCCTTCCTCTCCCTGTTCAGAGAGAGAAAGCCCTTACCTCTGTGCACCTCAGCTGGAAGCAGAGCCAGGCAGCACGTGTGCTCACGCTCTGCAGAGGCAGGTCAGATGGAGACCAACAGGAGGTTCTTCTGTCCCAGCTCCTCTGGGATCTCCTCTGGGAGATGACTAACCTGCATGGGCAGACAGACACCGCACTGAGCTCTGGCCTTCCGTGTGTGTGCTCTGCAGAGAAAGGCAGCGAGGGAGGCCTGGGGACTTCCAGATTTCATGGCAGTGGGGTTGTCCTGGCTTGAGGGCCCAGATGGAAGCAGACATCCCCTCTTTCTTGTACACAGGCCCAGGCTGTGACTCTGACCGTGGCCCAGGCTTTCCAGGTGGCACTGGATCTCTGGGAAGCAGCACATGCAGGTAGGAGGAATTTCTCAAACGTGTCCCTCTGCCTAGCCCTGGGATCAGGGTCTCCAGTGTGGGACCCTGACTTGGGCTGTGTGGAGGAGGGATGGCTTGCTGCCTGGCTGGTGAAACACACCAAGTGAGGAGAGCGCTGTCCCTGCCCTGGTGTTCTGTGCCGCTGCCCTGCGCGGGGAGCCTGCCTTAACTCTGGCTGGGGTGGGGTGGGAGGTGTCCCTGCTCTCCATGCTGAGCTCTTCTGCATTGCTGAGCTGTAGCACAGCTCAGGGCCCTGTGGTACCTGCCCTGAGCAGTGATCCCATACCCTTGTTTGCACCCTGCACCAAGCACAGCAGAGGCATTTGTCCCTTGCCCACAGTCCTGCCTGTACATCCTCTGCGGGGCCTTCTCCAGGCTGGAGGCACTAACTCTGCTGCTTTTGCCCTGTCCCAGGCTCTAGGCAGGAACAGCCCCTTCACCCTTCATGTGTCTTGGAGAGCAGTGAGCCCGGCAGACCAAGTGAGCCAGCCCCCCCGGGGAGCCCTCCCTTCAGACACCAGTTTGGGGTACAGTATGTGCAAGTCTGGCCCGTGCCCAGGGCTGTCTTGCGTTAAGGCAGGAAAAGAGTAACCCTTACGCAGCTCCCTGCTCCTGGCCTTCCAGGACCCTGTTGATGTCTGCACAGCCTCCCTCACACATGATGGCCTGACATGAAGAGGGGCACTGTGCTGTGACTGGCTTACAAGGTGGGCACGGTTCCTCTTTGCTCCACGAGCTCTCCTGTTAGGCCCAGCATTGCTGCAGGACTCAGCCTTGCTCTGCTGGCACTATCAAACAGGGAGCTGACACCTGCACTGCAGACTCGGTGCCATTGCTAGGACTGAGACGCTGTCCCTGAAGGAGAGGACCCTTTGGTCATCATCTTGCCAGTCTGGGCTAAGGTTCAGCCCTGCCCACCTGCACTGCACCTACTGCATGTCCAGAGCCAGTCAGAGCATTTGCCAGTGTTGCCGGTCTCGCTGTGTCCCTGCCCAGGAGCCTCTGCACGCTTGGTCCTTGGCCTCGTGCTTTCAGTGCTGGCCCAGCCTGGCAGTGCTGGGGTCATGCTTGCTTGCAGCCCACTCCTGGGTGGTCCTGTGCCTGGCCCTCCAGCTGCAAGTTGTGCTCAGCCCACCCCTGTCTCTGGGCGAAGGTGCGCTGTGTGCAGCAACTGCCTCGGCGTGTTCCTGCTCGCAGCCCGTGTCTGGTGCTTTGCGGGCTGAAGGGGACGTGAGAAGAGCTGTGGTCTGTCTGTCCCCTCGTGTGGCTGTGTGTCTGAGCCCTGAGGACTTCAGCCGCCAGGCGCTGCTGGTGCTGTGTTTCCCACTGCTGCCTGCAGGCACTCTTTGTCTGCGCCATGCCCGGTGGGTGACTGTCTTGCGAAGGCGCCAGGAACTGCCCTGCTGCTCCAGAACAGGCTCTGGGCAGCCCAGCCTCGCTCCTGGCAGAGACTTGCCCAGGCAGTAAGGTGTCATGGTGGGGTTTTGTTGTTTTGTTTTTGTTTGCCAGGAGGAGGAAGAGGCAGAGGAGGAAGATGATAACGTTGGTGAAACCTTACCTAGGTAGGTGGTGAGCTGCTGCTTGTGTTCAGGGGTCTCTGATGAACCCTGTCCTGTTTCCTTCTCTGCATCCCGTGCAAGGGGAGCTGCTGGGGCCACAGGCATGATTTGAGCATGGAACAGATCCACTTGGGAGCAAGAGAGATGGAGCTTCCTGCTGCTTTCTCTGCCTCTGTCAGCTGAGAGGTTGAGTGAACAGGGAGCTGAGCTGTGGAGGGTCAGATCTTGCAGTTCAGCTTTGGCTATGGAGCTGTGGGGGACAGGTGCTGACCCTCAGGGTGTACCCAGATATGTTACTTGTGCTGTTTCTGCCACTCTTCTGAGGCCACCCTGTCCCAGACACGCTTCTCAGGTGGGACTCAGAGTTGTCCCTCTCCTCCCACTGATTTCCCTGGGGCTTGGGCCAGGATAGAAGCCGGGTCATGCTGACTTCTGCATGGACTGGGGCCCGGGGCTGAGCTTGCCGTTGTCTGTCCTGTGCTCGGGAGGAGCTGATGGTACCAAGCCAGCAGTGGAGGATCAACCTGTAGGTCTTTGTAGAAGTGCCTGTGGTGGTGGGCGTGAGAGAACTGTTCCACTGTGGCTGTTCTCCATGTGCCTCTTGCAGCTGGCACCTGGCTGGGGTTTGTCGGTGCTGCAGGGCTGAGCCTGGTCTAAGCTGGTGCCAGCTGGGAACCAGCACGTGCACAGACTCAAGCTGTGTATCTGGTCCTGTGAAGTGGCAGCCCTTTGTACGTGGGGGCTCCTGATGGGAAGGAGATGAGGCTTTGCAGTTTCAGGACAGGCTGGCCCAGGAAAAGGTTTGGTTGCAAGTGGACTAGGGCTTCCTGCACTCCTGATACATGCCCGGTACTGCTGCGCCGTGCCTGCATTGTCAGGGTCGTGAGCACTTGGCAGGCCTTGCCTAGGGTATGATGGGTGCTCTGTTCTCTTCCAAAGCAGCATGGAGGAGTTGGGGAGGGGAGCCCACAGCCCAGCAGGTAAGTTACTTCCTTCAGTGCTGCCTTGCCACATCTCCCAGCATGTCCTCTGCAGGAGGAGGGGCCTGATGGCTCACCTGGCAAGGTCTGCTTCCCCTCCCAGGCTGTGCCGGCTTCCCAACCGCGCGTCTCATGGACTGGGTCTTTCCCCCTCTTGCTTTTCAGAGTCAGCACCTCTTGGGCCCGGAGCGAGCTCTCCTACAGCACAGCTACGGTGCTGCCGCTTGGGGCAACCCCCGGACAGCGGGAAGGGGCTGGCAGTGGTTGGAGGCCTCCCCACAGCTGCCCCCAAGACTCCCCTGGGCTAAGCCCCATCCCTGCGACAATGGACCAGCTTCTCAGGATTCACCCTGTGCCTGCCCCTGCCCCTGGCACTGCCCACCAGGCATGGGGTCTGCTGGCACCACTGCCGTGCAGCGCACAGACGGCGACACCCACTCCTCCTGCTCTCTGCCTGCATGAACCACCTCAAGCTGCAGCTGCTCCTGGCTTGGGCTGGTGGCCCTGTGCTCCTCACTCTGCCCGCTCCCATGCATGCAGAGCACCCCAGGTGCTCTGGGCCTGCAGGATGC